ATTAATTTGATTAAGTACTATTTGATTCACAGAGGTTTTCTGTGTTGAATGCATCGATAACTATATGTAGATTGTATCTGAATTGAATAAACACTGAAATCATTCATTTAGATAATAGACAGATTGATTGACAAACATTTAATTAGAAACAATGGATTAATCATTAAGTAGTTAACACTCTCATGTTTTTTCTAGTCCTTTAAATGTTGATCAAACACTATTTGATGAGCTACACTGTAAGAATCAGTCAAAACGGTTCAGAATTATCTATGCGATGTCAATATGTCATGTGGGTGGATGTAAAATCACAACCTTATCAATAGAATTCCATCGATACTAAGGATTAAAAAGGTATGGTGTTAGCTACTACCTAATACTCTAAGCGGTCGATTACGAATACACTAATACTTCTTCTACAATATTAAACTGTTTGAAGCTATAATCTCTAGGTAAATAGACAGATTATGTGAATAATGTAACTAGACCAAGTTAGGTGTATCTCAGATATTCAGCTATAACAATGAATGATGATCATAATATATGTTAAATTAATCGAGATTGAACATACTCATCAATGAACTCGAACTCAGTAATCAAAAGTATAACAACTTGAATACCTACTATTCGATCAATCCCCTGAACTATTATTGTGAATAGCTGAAAAATACTGTCAAAAAACCATCTTAGTATTCAGACGTCAATTAATTATTCTCATGAACCTAAAATGATATTGTCACTATTATTTCTATCTGTGGAAGGTATTCATAACCAAATGAGTATATTTGAAGTACCACTGAAAATCAAGAATTATTATATACCTATTAGATCTCAGTCTATTTCAGTACTCCATGGCTTCTTATGAATGCCCGACTGAGATCAATCGGTAACTAATACCTCGTACAGATTAAGATGATCTTTATTAAACTATTTCATCTAAATGATAATATTCAGTTCACCAATGACTTATCTCAAGATCAGTTCTGCAAGTTTTAATGAGAGTTCATGATGGATCGAGTTCACACAGGTCTACAATATTGGCGGACAGCCATTTCTAATGAGTATTTATCGATAGAAATTTAACATCAAAACTAAACCCCTCAAACATCACCGATAATTAAGAACAAAACTCTTTTTATGAATATCAAATTGAAAGAAGAAATGGCTGTACAAATCTTTAATAAATCAATATCAAAGTCACTTAAAAAGATTTTCAACTCTACTAAATTTTGTATTGTCCTCCCATGCTGCCATACAATTCATGAGTGGCATTAAGAATAAATTTTCCCCTTAAGCTACAAAAATGTGAATCTATGAGTTTAATTGCTTTTGTTATACAAACTACATTGATTACACAAAGAGAACACTTTCTAAACCCATGTCAGAATACTATTCATCACTCACTCAATACAATAGCACCTCATCAACTTAAGTCAATTTATCCTAAAGGAATCATCCTTTCAAATAATCGATAAAGTGAAAAACGGAAGTCGAATCAAAACTTTATACAATTTTCAGGTATTGACAATTCATCGATTCAAGTCTAAGCTCTACATCCATAAACAATACGTATACCCTCTTATCTATTCATCGCCAAAAAATCCTTCTCCAGTATGTTTTGATCCTGTTTTTTTTAAAAATATTATTCTGTACTAATCTCTAACAATTGTTTACAATTACTAATCAATTATTATCGTGATCATAATTTCAATTCCCTATTACTTACTTACGCCTGTTATTCCCAATGGATCATAGGCCGACGATCAGCATTCTCCAACGCATTCTGTCATGGGCCTTCTTTTCCTGTTCTGTCCAATTTTTGCTCATTCTTCTCATATCTGTCTCCATCTCTCAGAGTAATGTGTTCTTTGGTCTTTCTCTTCTCATTTGGCCTTGAGGATTCCATGTGTTGACTTGCCTTGTGGAGCAGTTGGGTGCTTTCTTCAACATGTGTCCTATCCACTTCCGGCGATTCTTGATTTCTTCTCCCGCAGGATTCTGATTTGTTCTCTCCCACAGTACGTTTTTGCCGATAGTATCTAGCCAATGGATCTGAAATATTTTTCGTAAACAATTGTTAATATACAGTTTTATCCCCTGAATGATGGCTTTCGTAGTTCTCCAGGTTTCCGCTCCATACAGTAGAATCAACTTGACATTTTTATTGAAAATTCTGACTTTGGTGTTGGTTGACAATTGTTCCCCATACTGGTTTTTTAAACATCATTTAGTCCCAGTTATTAGGTAAACACGCTCAAGGTCACTCAAACGTCGTTTACAGGTCGTCCATAAATTATAGTCTTACCTAATGAAGTTTCAATCAACTTTAAACCAGTGAATAATAAAATATGAATTACAATATCATGTATCAGTCATATACAACAAATACTTGCTATAAGTTAATAGAATTCATTACTCTTAATCTTTGAAATTATCATCAATAGCTTTACAAACTGAATATTCATTCAAAAGAATATCAATTCAGTCAAATACATCTCAGCAGTATGTTTTACACTATAGGCTGACTTTGTCAACATATACCTTTTTATCAATCATTTTCACACTAAATAATCTCCAGGACAACTCGATGTTTATAATAATTATATCTACGAGATTATTGAAGTTCTAGATTAATTCTCGAAGGTTATATGATATGGGGTACCTAGCCTGTCGTATGCCCTGATGGTGTTCTGGTAACTTTCGGGTTGCCTGATCTGCCAAAGGCGATGGGACAGTGCATGACGCTATTGTTGTGTGCTAGGTTCAAAGAGAATTGTATGCTATATGCATGCAAATCCGCCCCGTTATTGTATTGTTCCATATGATAGTGTAATCAATAGAGTTTAAACAAGCAAGATATTATTGATATCAACAGATGATAGCAACTGAATTTTGGCAAGCCGATTAGCTGATTAGAAATGTGAGCTATAAGAATTAAATTCAGTAGTTTGAAAGGAATGTATGTTATGAGACCTATTTATCTTTGGTTTGATTCACTGAGTAGATATGGATTGTTGAAAAGTATCAAATTACAATGAAGTAGTTACCAACTGATTCTTATATTCAAATAGTTAATTCTTAATTTCTAATCAATATTTATTCTTCTAACTTAGAAAACAAAATTATCAATGAGAAACCATGACCAGTAGAGTTTAACCGGGTCGGTTGTGAAATAGTAACTCACTGATAACAGTGATGAAGTATGGCGCAATTTCGTAGATTAGTTAAAGTTAGATATTAACATCGTTTGATGCTGATTGGCTCAGTAGTTTAAAAGTTACACGCTCGCAAGTGAGACTGATAGGTCTTAGGTTCGAATCTCGTGAGACGTGCATCATGGATGTGCACTGTTGGGAAGTCCCATACTAGGACAAAACGGCCGTCCAGTGCTTCCAGGTTTTCCATGGTGGTCTAGCTTCAATTGACTCATGATTTCAACTATTGAAATTTGTAAAAATCTCCACAAAACACCTTCTGATAATAATCATCTGCTCACTGGTGACTAACTTCAAGAGGCATTTGCTGGAGTTCTAGTGAGAAGCCATTACTAGTGGAGTTCAACCAGGTCTGTTGTAAGATATCAACTCACTGAAGACAATAGTGTACGGTGGCAAAACTTCGTGGATTGGTTGAAGTTAGACATTAACACTATTGAATGCCGACTGGCTCAGTGGTCTAGTTGATTAAGCACTTGGCGCGAGACAAATAGGCTTTGGGTTCGAATGTCTCAGGAGGCGGGATCGTGGATGCGCACTGCTGAGGAGTCCCATACTAGGATGAAACGGCCGTCCAGTGCTTCCATGTTTTTCATGTTGATCTAGTTTCAATTGACTCATGATCTTAACGATTATAAATTACTAATAATATTCACAAATAACCCCTTTCTGAATATTGATTAGTTCATTATGGTATCAATGTAAATAAATAAATAAGTTGTCATCATTAAATAACAATAAATAAGTCATGTATATTCATATATGATTTATACTTTTTCTTGTTTTAATTCACTTCTAAACAACTGAATAATAACTATGTTCATTGTTCTTTATATATAACATTATTATCATTATAATAAACAACATTTATTGTTATTTATATGATAAATTATGATAAAAGTAAACAAATATTTATCGTAATAACAATAATAATATCAGAAGGGGTTTGTGGAGATTTTAGAAATTTCACAGATTGAAATTATGAGTCAATTGAAGCTAGACTACCATGGGAAACCTGGAAGCACTGGACGGCCGTTTCATCCCAGGATGGGACTCCTCAGTAGCGCACATCCAAGATCCCGCACCCCATGAGATTCGAACCCAGGACCTATCGGTCTCGTGCCAGGTGCTTAACCAACTAGACTACTGAGTCGGCATCCAGCGGTGTTAATGTCTAACTTCAACCAATCCACAACGTTGCGCCACCGTATACTATTGTTTTCAGTGAGCTGATATTTCACAACAGACCTGGTTGAACTCCACTGGTAAACGGTTGTCCAGTGCTTCCTCTGCAATATCAATCATTCATTTCAAATATATTGGGTTTATATACAAACCAAACAGATCACATCATATCATAAAATAGAAAATAACATTTGTACAAAATCTAGCCCAAAAGGGGATGTGAATGTGGGAGGTAGTAATTAATAGACATGGGGCATAATTCAAGAATGATAAATCGTATAATAATAATTCATAGGTCAAAATAAAGCTTATCATGTGAAGAGCACAAATATGAATAGTTTAGTTACTAAACACCTATACAATAAAAATATACGCATAGTATTGATTCATAAACGGATCTCAAAAACTATCATTCATTATTCATATCAGGATATAATACACTTTCCCCCCCCCACACACACGGAAAAAAATTTTTTTCACATGGCACCAATATCATTTCATTCTTTTTAAACTAATCAATTAATCTATAATATCTCCATACAAAAGTTTTTTCTCTCTCTTCTTTTCTTTCTTTCTTTTTTTTCTTTTTAATACAATTTATAGATTTGGTAAACGTCACTATAATCCCATTAAAGAGGATGATGATTTAATGAAATATGATTTAATCAATAATTATCTTCGTCAACGATTAATATAATAATATTTAATAGAATATTCTATAAATGATCCTGATCAGAATTATATTAGAAATCAATAATAATAATAATAATAATAATAATAATAATAATAATGAAGAATGATTATTCAATATGGAAATACATACATACATACATACATACCAGATATATATATATATATATATATATATATATATATATTGTTGGTCATGGTGATTAGTAATATTGGGGTTATGTATGTGTGTGTGTGTATGTGTGTAAGTGTATGTGTATGTGAATGTGTGTGTGTATGTGTATTATGATTGTATTTATTGCTAAAATGCAAAATATTGATTGAGTAAATAAAATAAATTTTTAAAGTAAAATCTTAATGTTCTAATATATGGAATGTTTCATTTATATTTTTTTTTAAGTATTATTGAATGAAATATATATATTTATATATTTATTTACTGACCCCTGTTACTACTCGTGGAGGAGCATAGGCTGCTCAATAGTACTTTTCATTTAATTCTTTCCAAATCTTTCCAGTTGGTATTCATCCTTTTTATAACTGATTGTATTTCCTGACGTAATGTGTTTTTTTTTTTTTGGCGTTCCTCTATTTTACTTCCCTTCATGATTCCAAGTAGGAGTTTGGTTCGTGATTCAGTTTGATGATTACCTCAATATGTGTGTTTATCCATTTCCACTGACTTTTTCTAATTTCCTTTTCAGTTGGAAGCATGCTCGTTCTCTTCTACACTAGGCTGTTGCTGATGGTATCCGGTTAATGGATCTGGAGTATCTTGAGTAGACAATTATTCATAAATAATTGTATCGTTTTGATGATGGTTGTAGTAGTTCTGCAAGTTTCAGCTCCATAGAGTAGAACTGTCTTGATATTTGTATTGAAAATTCTGAGCTTGATATTGGTTAACAGACAGTTGTTTTGAGTTTCAGATGTTCTTCAGTTTGTAGATATGCTGCTCTTGAGAGTAAACAACCTTGTCTAACACCAGTGTTTACTTCGAACGAGTTCATGAACTATCCTCCATACACGATTTTGCAGTTTAATCTATCATAAGAATTCCATATGATATTGACTATTTTAACAATAAGTACTTTTTGAATACAACAAACTAATGTAATATTATTAACAAAGCCAAACAAACTGATTTGTAATATTAAGCAGGAAGTGAAATGTGATGATATCAATTTATAAACATAAAATTAAAATGTTGCAATGGTAATTACAGATTACGAAATTAGAAGTAAAAAGAAATCCCATAGAGACGAAAAAAGTCAACGTAAAGAAAAAAAGTAACTGATCATCTTGAATAGTTTATTAGATGGAATAGAGATTTCCTGTTATATATATATTTTCCAGAAAATAACAAAAAAAATAGACAAGACTGGGAATTCAATGGTTCAGTTTTAAAATTACAGCATGAACACTTGATTGAATTTATAAATCGGTCAAAGTTAGACAATCATTGAAAATCTACAAGTATTGGATAGTCATTTCATCTTAGTATGGGACTCTCTAGAAGTGCGCATCCATGATCGCACATGCAAGATTCTGATATAACTTTTACTCTATGTTCTATCAATGTATAACGTGATGATACCGCCAATTGGAGGACAGTAAATTATCGAATGGACCAATAACTCAGAAAATGTGTACGAACATCCTAGAGTCCTTATCGGTCCTGCTTCCTGCCTAGTCCAACTTGTTAAGTCCACAACACCAATCTCAACCTCTACAATATTAATCATTCATTTCAAACATATTGGGTTTATATACAAACCAGACAGACTACATCGTACCATAAGATAGGAAACGACATTTGTACAAGAATTAGCCAAATGTGGCTGTGAATGTGGGAGGTAGTAATTGATAGACAGGGCATAACTCAAGAATGGTAAATCGTATAATAATAGTTCATAGATCAAAATAAAGCTCATAATAAGAGGAACATGAATATGAATAATTTAGTTACTTAACAAGTATGCAATAACAATATACGTATAGTATTGGTCCACAAATGGATCCCAAAAGATTACCATTCATTATTCTCAACGGCATATAACAGATTCGAACACAGAACCTTCGGTCTCATAATCAATAAATTGTTTAGCCAAAAAAGAAATAATACCAACCCATTATTTGTTTAATTAAAACAATAAATTTTGTTTAAATATAGTTAATAATAAATTTACCTTGCTTTCTAACTAAACAACTAGGTTGATTCTTTCAAATAGTTCTTTATGGAAAATTCTTAAATAACCAAATTTAACGGGATATTTCAACTCATTCACAGTCATAAACAATCAAGAACTTGAAGTAGATTCAACTATTCATATTACCTTTTAATACAACGAATTGCAATTATCAAAACAAATGCCAAAGTAGTAGAAGTAGTAACAATATCAAAGGTAGTAGAAAACATTAGGCACAGTGTTATATTACTCTCTTACGGTTATAACCCAACTATTCCTATTGCTTAGTATTCTCAAACACCGATTCACTCGACAAGTCCCCCAAATCAGAACACGGTTGGACAGGAAAAGAGATTGTATCCCAAATAACAAGGTTAGATGGAAGTAAGAAGCAATCAAGTGCAATAGGGAAAACGTTAGTATATTTATAGTTTTTCACATGAGAAGATTTCTCAAGTGTTCACTAAGTACTGACTAACACTGATTGGGTAAAAATTAGCCAATCAGCGGGCGCCAACGCAAGCGTGCATTGAGTATGATTTGATCCAATCTATGTCCTCGCTAACACACAGATAATCTCGTTTCATGAGAACATTAAACACATAGAATAAAGAATATAAGATAATTCTAAAACTCAAGATTTAAAGAATGATAAAGATTGAATGAATTTGTACGACTGATTTTCAATAATATCACCTAGTCTTTAATAGTGATTACGATATTCAAGAAAACCTTGACTAGGTAGTCTGCATCTTCAAATGTGGCTCAATCTAACAGTACTTAATTTCAATCCATGTTATCTAAGATCTCTAACCATGGATTACGACCATTTCAATAGGATTTCTGCATCTTCCAACACTAGACAGTTGAATAGTCACCATTATCCTTTTTCACTCATCATTGTAAGTTGAAGCAGGAGATTCATTTGTATGCATGAGTATACAATCTACTCTTATCAATATTCCTGTCATTATATTTTAAAAAATAATAATAATCTCGGTGTTTTAGTGTTCCGTGTGTATAGTTTATATAGAACCGGTTACCCAGTAAAATCGGTTTGATGCATTTTTTTTCCTGAATTCAGTGAAATTTAGAAATGTATGCTAATCCAAAGAGCTGTTAATAAAAACTAATCAATAATTTTGCTTAAAGACCCTTTGACTTAAGGCTATACAGAGGCGATTCGCACAGAATACACATATGCCAATAAAAAACTGATCAATTACAGTGCTAAACATCAATGGGAAGATTCAAGTGAACAATACCAAGTGAATTTAAACTTCACTCCACTGCACAAGCAGGTGGCTATCAGGACTCAGTAGCTAAGTAGAGAATGCGATGACGTTTGGACCGAACGGTATTGGGTTCGATCCCCGTAGTGACTATGAATTGTGAGATGCAGTTACGTCCAGCTGACGAGTCCCGAGTAGGACGAAACGCGCGTCCTGGATTCCACTGCTAGCCACTAATCATCCTTGCTTAAATTTACCAAGATATATTTCTATTTCATTACAACAAAGAACACACATGGAGTTGCTCTGATGCTGTCCAAAGAGAGCTTAGGAACCGAATCTAGCGTTCAATTAGCAAGACTTATCGATAAAGAAGAAACTAGCAGGGAAATATGGCGGACCAAAGCGACCAGTCAATCAAAAAGTAAACAAGCCTATCGCTAAGATTCAAGAGCAGCGGAACAAGTGTGTAGAACATTTTGAAAAACTTGGAAATAGACCAGTCCCACTAAACCCACTGGACATCGAAGCAGAATACACAATCTTCCTATAGCTGTCACTTGACCAACGATCGAAGGAATCAACATGAACAACAAACAGATCAAGAGTGAGAAAGCAGCAGTACCAGACAACGTACCAGCTTAAGCGTCGAAATCAAACATTCAGGTAACTGCAAGGATGCTCCACATCCTATTCAGAAGGATTTGGGTAGAAGTACAAATCCCGACAGACTCAAAAGAAGGATACATCATCAAGAGACCAAAACAGCATATCTGAGCAAATGTGAAAACTACATAGGCATCATAATACTATCAGTTCCATGGAACGTTTTCAACAGTGTTTTCGGACCGAATGAAAGATTCGGTAGGCACCCAACTTCGAGATCAACGGGCTGGATTTTATAAGGATCAGTCGTGTTAAGACCGAATCACAACACTATATATCATTGTTGAACAATCAGCTGAACGGAACTCGTCACTATATATCAACTTCCTTGACTAAAAGAAAGCGTTTAACAGAGCCGATATGGTGGTTGTATGGAACCTTCTTAAACACTATAGTGTACCTGAGAAAATCATCAACATCATACGGAATTTATTTGACGGATTAAAATGCAAAGTGGTACATGCAGAACAGCTGACAAATGCATTCTAAGTGAGGACCAGAGTCAGACAAGGCTACTTACTCCCCCCCTTTTTTTCTCTTTCATCTATCTGGTGGTTGACTGAACTATGATGACCTCAACATCTAACGGGAAGCACGAAATATGATGGACAGCTTGCATGCGGCTAGACGATTTGTACTTCTTAGATGATCCATACCTTCTACCCAGTACAAACTAACAAATGCAGGTCATGACAACCAGTGTAATAGAAGCTTCTGCATCAGTAGGCTTCATCATACACAAAGAAAAAACCGAGATCCCCAAATACAATACCGAGAGCACTAACCCAATCACACTTAATAGAGAAGTTCTGGAAGAGATGGGAACTTTCACGTGTCTGGGCAGAACAACTGATAGACAAGGGGAACCTGGTAAAGATATGAAGGCTCGGGTTGGAAAAGCAAGGACAGCACTTCTACAGTTAAAGAATATATACAACTCAAAACAACTGCCAATCAATATCAAAGTCAGAATTTTGAATACGAACGTCAAGATAGT